GGAAGCAGCACGGATTGGGGGGCAAGGGGAGGCAATGGGAAGGAAGAAGGATCGGGGTCTTTGAAGGGAAGGACTAGACAGGCATGGGCCAACTTTGGCCTTCCCTCCAGGTGTTTTGGACTCCAACTCCCACAATTCCTAACAGCCGGTAGGCTGTTAGGAATTGTGGGAGTTGGAGTCCAAAACACCTGGAGGGAGGGCCAAAGTTGGCCCATGCCTCGGTCAGATCGCAGCACATCTTTGGCTCAGTTGACTTTGGCTCAATGTTAAGGGCAATGTTTAGAAGCTTATTTTTAGCAGGTGACTTCATGGGTAAAATTACACCCATTTGTTCCAGTGTCAATATGTTGTTGAGGACGACACTCCTTGTGTTTGGAGGCATTTTCTAAGTGGCCGATCCACTTGCGCTCGAGATTAGTGCAGCATCAATCTCAGTTGTCAGAATTACTCAGCCTTCGTGCTGATTGCAGGCGCTCGCAATGCCTGTGTGCCATTGGTCAGTGTGTGTGGCTGGCATCCATGGTGCAGTTTTTGCAATGCAGAATGCACATGGGCAATGTGCATTTGCACATGACTTTGTGTGCTGTTTCATGTGGAGTGGTGCAATGAAATAGTTGGATCACCAGGTCCTCACCTAGGACTGTTGTCTTTGCATTCCCTTGCTTGGTAATTTGCTCACTCCTTTGGTTTGGAGACCCTTACGTCTGTTAGTAAATCTTCATCTGAAGCTTTGAGAAATTTGGAGCTGAAGGAAAATATCAGGGAGAGCTGAATTGTCGCAGGCTTTCATGGCCAGAATCACTGGGTTGTTGTAGGGTGGTTTTTTTTTTTTTGGGCTATATGGCCATGTTCTAAAGGCATCCTCTCCTGATGTTTTGCCTGCATTTATGGCAAGCATCCTCAGAGGTAGTGAGGCGAAACATCATTACCTGCATCTATGGGAAGCATCCTCAGAGGTTGTAACATCTGAGGATGCTTGCCATAGATGCAGGCAAAACATTAGGAGAGAATGCCTCTAGAACATGGCTATATAGCCCGAAAAAACCTATAACAAATTTTCTTATGTTTGGATGATAGAACCAATCAGGAAATGACATTGATAACAGACTCCTCAGGTCTGCCACACTTTGAGCATTATTAGACTGAGTCTTTTATAGGAATATTCTGCTGATGTCGTCCCAAAGTTGTAAATGAATGATAGACGTCATCTATCCTGGCTCCATCTCAGTTTCCTAGCCAGATGTTGACTCTTCTTGATGGGTGTTGACAAACACAATGCTTGTGTTGACTTTCTTCTTAAAAAAATAAATTTCTTGGGTTGTTGTAGGTTTTTTCTGGGCTATATGGCCATGTTCTAGAGGCATTCTCTCCTGACGTTTCACCTGCATCTATGGCAAGAGGATGCTTGGTCCCTCCCTGGTCATTCCACAGATATATAAACCCATTTTCCTAGTTCCAACAGACCTCACTACCTCTGAGGATGCTTGCCATAGATGCAGGCGAAACGTCAGGAGAGAATGCCTCTAGAACATAGCCATATAGCCCGAAAAAACCTACAACAACTTTTCTTATGTTTGCATCATAGAACCAATCAGGAAATGACATTGATAACAGACTCCTTGGGTCTGCCACACTTTGAGCATTATTAGACTGAGTCTTTTATAGGAATATTCTGCTGTCGTCCCAAACTTGTAAATGAATGATAGACGTCATCTATCCTGGCTCCATCTCAGTTTCCTAGCCAGATGTTGACTCTTCTTGATGGCTGTTGACAAACACAAGGCTTGTGTTGACTTTCTTCTTAACATTGTAAGCATTTCTGAGTTGTTGTAAGTTTTTTCAGGCTATATGGCCATGTTCTAGAGGCATTCTCTCCTGACGTTTCACCTGCATCTATGGAGAGCATCCTCAGAGGCAGTGAGGTCTGTTGGAACTAGGAAAATTGGGTTTATATATCTGTGGAATGACCAGGGTGGGACAAAGAACTCTAGTCTGCTGGAGCCAGGTGTGAATGTTTCAACTGACCACTTCGATTAGCATTTGATGGCCTGGCAGTTGTTTGGTGTGGCTTGTTAGTGCCTGGGGCAATCTTTTGTTTTTAATACTGGCTACCAGTATTAAAAAAAACCTCTAAAATTATAACAGCAAAACAACAGAGAGGAAACAATCAGGGACATCTAATCACCTCTCAACAAAAGATTGCCCCAGGCACTAACAATGGTCAGTGGGGGGGCGGTCTTGTGGACTTTGAAGGGGAAGTTTGTGACTTGTGGAGGAATGATATGGGGAGGGGCAAAACTCCAATTTTGCAGGTCTTGGGCGAAGAGGTGTCACCACTTCATTGCTGGTGTTGTGACTCAGCAAGCGGCAGAGGATTTTTCTGACATGTCAGAGGATGAGGGGTTTGATGGGTTTCAAAGTGGCCATTCTGTCAGTGCTAGGAAGGAATTGCAGGCGGTTGAGGTCAATGTTTTGCATTCCTGTGATAGTTCAAGTGAGACTAGTTATTTTGGGAAATGGCCGTTGACTGATGGAGAGTTTTCCTGAGAAGCCAGATTAGGTTTGAGAACAGAGGGAGTAAAAAATAGACTAATTAGATGTTCTGAGAGAATCCATGAGAAGACCTTGAAGTCCAGGTGCGTTCGGCACGATCTCATGGCTACTTGGTGGGGTGTAAATTAAGTGGTGTTGGTTTTACGCCTCTCAGAGGAGACAACATTGCCATAAGGATGGCTTTCTTGTTTGGCTCTCAAATTCATGATTCAAGTTTCCTGTTCTGGTTCGTGCATTTGTTCCCTGAAGGGTTTGCCTTGGGAAAAGTTCCTGTTTTCTTGCTTATGGATTTATGTTTGCATGATTGCTGCAGATTTCGGCTCTTTGGACTTCATGCACTTTGTCATTTTTGGATAGCTGCTATTTTGTATTCTTACTCTACTGCCCTTTTGGGAAATACCCTTTTTCCCTTTGTACATGCTTTCTTTAATGAACTTTTGTAGATAGTACTACTGGACTCTGGTGTGATGCTGGGTGACAAGGTATTTCAGTGCTAGAGTGCAACAGTTGGAAGTTTGGGTTTCATTTTTGTGGATCTGATTATTAATGGGCCTGATTAATATATTTGCTCAGGGAATCCCTGTGTCTTGCAGCACAGCGCTGTGATCGGCTTGAGCCATAGACTTGCACTGGAGGGCTGAGAAATTGCTCAAGAGAACACTTTTTTGACATCTGTGTATTTATCCTCCAGTGGAGGGACGACTGTAGTAGTAGGAAATGAATTACCGGTATTCATAACGATGATGGGTTGATATTAGTCATTATAATACTTGTGAAAATTGAATTTTTTTTGTCCTGTTTTCCCCCCTGTTTAATTGTGCTGCCCTTACTTTCCTTCTCTTCTTCCTTCCTTCTCTCTTTCCTTCCTTCCCCCTTTTCTTTCTCTTCTGCTGTCTCTTTTCTTCCTTCTCTCTTTCCTTCTTTCCTTTCCTCCCTCTTTCTCTACATCTTCCTCCCTTCATTCCCTTTTCCTTCCTTCTTTCCCTTTTTTCTTTCCTTCTCTCCTTCCTCCCTTCTCTCTCTTCTTCCTCCCCTTTTTCTTTTCTCTTTCCCTCCCTCTTTCTCTCCTTTCTTCCTTCTCTACCTCTTTCCTTCCTTCTCTTCTCTCTTTGCTTCCATGCTTCCTTTCTCCCTTCCTTCTTTCTTTCCCTCCCTCTTTCCTTTCTCTTTCTTTTTCTTTCCTTCTCTTTTCCCTTTCTTTCTTCTTTCTTTTCCATTTCTTTCCTTCTTCTTTTCTTCTTTCTTTCCTTCTTCTTTCTTCTTGTCTCCTTCTTTCTTTTCTTTTCTCTTTCTTTCTTTTCTCTTCTTTCTTTCTTTCTTTCTTTCTCATTCTCTCTTTCTTTTCTTTCTCTTCTTTTCCTTCCTCTTTCTTCTTTCCTTTCTTTCTTCTCTTTCTTTCTTTTTTCTTCTCTCTTTCTTTCTTTTTTTCTTTCCCTCTCTCTTTCTTTTCTTTCTTTCTCCCCTTCCCTCCCTCTTTCTCCCCTTCCTTCCTTCTCTACCTCCTTCCTTCCTTCCTTCCTTCCTTCCTTCCTTCCTTCCTTCCTTCCTTCCCTTCCTTCCTTCTTCTCTCTCTTCCTTGCTTTCTTCCTCCTTTCTTTCTTTTTCCCCTCCCTTTCTTTTCCTTTTCTCTTCTTTTTCTTTCTTTCTTTTTTTCTTTCTTTCTTTTTTCTTTCTCTTCTGCTGTGTCTCTTTTCTTCCTTCTCTCTTTCCTCCTTCCCTTCCCTCCCTCTTTCTCTACCTCTTTTTCTTTCCCTACCTCTTTCTCTCCTTTCTTCCTTTTCTACCTCTTTCCTTCCTTCCTTCTCTCTTTGCTTCCATGCTTCCTCCTCCCTTTTCTTCTTTCTTTCCCTCTCTCTTTCTTTTCTTTCTTTCTCCCCTTCCCTCCCTTTTTTCTGTTTTTTCATTTCTTTTCTATTTAGCTTTTTGGGGCTTTTTACCCCTGTTCTTCACTTCCTCTACCGCGTGGATCTTCCTGGCGTCCGGTTTCCATCCCGGTCCGGATTCCTGTCCCATTCCTTCCTTCCTTCTCTCTCTCCTATTGTGACAGTGGTGGGATTGAGAGCACCTCTCCCCCTCCGAAGATCTTAAAGACCTTGATGGTTCATAGGGGAGAATCCGTTCGGACAGGTAAACAGGGCCAGAGTCGTTTAGGGCTTTGTAGGTCAAATGTGTGTGTTTGTGTATATATGTGTAGTTTTGTGAATGCACTGTAATGTAGTTTTTGTTTTTTTGCTTTTTAAGTCCCTTCTGCTGTGTTTTTCAGTGTTTTTATGAGTGATGGCCACTCGTTGGCCTGACAGCTGTCTTGTGTCCAAATTTGGTGTCATTCCATCCAGTGGTTTTTGAGTTATGCTAATCCCACAAATGAACATTACATTTTTATTTATATAGATGTTTACATTCATGCTCTTGCTGATAGCTGGCTGGCATTCTGCTCTATCCTCCAGGTGGTACAAGCTGCACTCGAAGCCCGGGAAGAAGGAGAAGGAGCGCGGGGAGATTGAGCTGAGCCTGCAGTTTGCGCGCCACAGCCTGACGGCCAGCATGTTCGACCTCTCGGCCAAGGAGAAGCCGCGCTCGCCTTTCGGGAAGCTGAAGGACAAGATGAAGGGCCGGCACAAGTATGACCTGGAGTCGGCCTCTGCCGTGGTGCCCAGCAGCTATGGGGCCTTGGAGGATGAGGTCCTGGGCCTGGAGGGGGGTCGCAAGGGGCCGCGGCTGCCCAAGGCGGGCTTCTTCTTCAAGGGCAAGCTGCGCCGGTCCTCCCTGACCCGCTCCAACACCTCGCTGGGCTCCGACAGCACCATCTCCTCCGCCGGGAGCCTGGCGGGCAGTGCCGGGAATGAGGCCTTCGCCCCGTCACCCGCCCGACACGGCAGCCTCTCCACTGACCGCTCCGGTGAGAAGGGCTTCCAATCGGGGTGGGAAGACAGGACAGTCAGGACACTCAATGGGGGGCGAGAGGCAGCCAATGACAAAGGGGGATCCCCTCTAGCAGTCTGACTTTCCTGCACTAAGCAGTAACCCTGAACCCAAGGATTGTCCCCAAAGAGCGACCCCCCCCCCAATCCCATCATCTGTCTGCCATGAATACTTTTTGAACCTTAAAAATGTTCTTGAATCCATTTGTCAGTGGGACAGATTGCATTAGTTATTTATTTATTCGTATCCCACTTTTTTCCTGGATTGGAACTCAAAGCGGCACGCAACATGTAAAAAGTGAAAAACATAACATCCAAGAAAAAAACAACATTATAGACATAATCCTATCAATAAAGGTGAAGGTAAAGGTTTCTCCTTGACATTCAGTCTAGTCTGAAAGATAGTTTCACACCTGCAGTTAATGAAGAGATAGGTAAGACCAGTCGCCGTCTGGAAATCAGCCAGAACCGTAGAGAGGCCCAATGTTTACTCAGGTCAGAAAGAATTCTGCAATTCAGGTCAAAGACTGGGGGGAGTAGAAATCAGTTTCTGGGACTTAAATTGAGCTCTTAGGGAATTTCCTTCAGACCAGGCATCGTTTGGTTTCAAGTCAAATCTTTTGGATATTCTCGTGCCCTCGTCTTCTAGGTTTCCTGGCTTTTCAAGTGGATTAGCAGTGGCTGTGTTCATGATTTTTATAGAAGGCATTTGATATTTCTTTCCATCTGGATTTAAACAGCAAGCTTTTGGATCCTTGATATTATTCCTATGTTTGGACACTGTTTATGTTTCTGCTTATTTGGCTTTTTTGCTTTTGGATTTTTATCAGCTTTACATTCATCTCTCTTAGTGGCTCCAATTATTCTTCAAATAAATAGGACTCTTTTTTCATCCAAGGTGTGGTGTAATTAATGATTAGAGTAGGTCCTGTTCCTACTCTGGGGTGCAACAGTTGTGGTGTGGAGGGATGGGTGTGTTGTTTTGTGGTGAGTGTTGGGAAAAGCATTTAATTTTGTTGTACATTGTACAATAACAGTAAAGTTCTTCTACTCTCTTGTGTCTGCCTTTCCCTCCAGTGAGAGACTTCCTGCCTTCACCCAAGCTGACCCACAAGCGGGCATTCAGTGACGAGGCCTCACAGGTGGCTCTGCTGCCTGAATCCAAATCGGTCCAGAACCTGAAGCCTTCCGGGAAGGAGTCCATCTCGCGCTCCTCGCTCTGCATCAACGGAAGCCATATTTACTGCGAGGAGCCGCTTCCCAAGCCTTCCTTCCTCTCCTCGCCCCCGGCTCCGGCCGTCCTGCAGAAGCCGCCGGACGAGGGACCGCGTGGACCAGACCCAGAGCTTCCCACCTGGTCCAGTGCCAGAGGGCAGAAGGGGCCCCCCAAGGACCCCCCCAGGTTCATCCCTTCGCCGCCCATCTTGGCCGCTCAGGAGGAGGACAAGCTCTCGGTCAAGACCATTGCGCTCAACAAGCAGAGGGGCCGAGCCAAGAAGGAGGAGGCGCTGCGGGCGGAGGGCAGGCCGGTCCAGATGGCGGCCCCCTTGGTCTTCTCCTCGGACGTGGTCAGAGTCCGGCCACAGGAGAGGGCTGCAAAGACGGAGCAGGAAGAAGAAGAGGAGAAGAAGAAGGCCAGGACTGGCTTCTTCCGCCGACGCAGCAGCAGCAAAGACAGCGGGATGGGGCACGCGGGCGTCTCGGCGGAAAGCGCGGAGCTCCCAGCCTCTCCGGGTCCGGCCAGCGGGCAAGAGCGGGGCCGGAGCAGCAGCGCCAGCGGATGGTTTGGCCGGCAGGACCCCAAGGATAAAAGACCCAGGTGAGAGAAGGTGGAGGGGTGGCGAAGGGGGTCTCTGGCCTCTCAAACATTTCCCGTTGCATTCACAAGGAGACCAAGTATGCCACAGAGCAGTACACAGTCTCTCAATCAGGCCCTCCAGGTGTTTTGGACTTCAACACCCACAATACTTGGAGACCAGGACGCAGTGGAGCAATAGATTCAAGCTGCAGGAAAATATGTTCCACCTAAACATTAGGAAGAACTTCCCAACGGTCAGAGCCGTTCGGCAAGGGAATAATACGCTGCTGGTTGAGTATCTGGCAGAGCCTCCTTCCTTGGAAGTTTTTGGTTGGATGGCTGTCTGTTGGGAGGGCTTGGCTTGTGTTTCCCTGCAAGAGGGATTGGATGTCCTTGGAAGTTTTCCTGCAAAGGTTGGATGGCCATCTGTTGGGAGGGCTCGGCTTGTGTTTCCCTGCAAGACAGAATGGGGTGGATTGGATGGCCTTGGAAGTTTCCCACAAAGGTTGGATGGCCATCTGTCAGGAGGGTTCGGCTTCTGTCTCCCTGCATGACAAGGAAGGGGTGGATTGGATAGCCTTGGAAGTTTTCCTGCAAAGGTTGGGTGGCCATCTGTTGGGAGGGCTCGGCTTCTGTTTCCCTGCAAGACAGAATGGGGTGGATTGGATGGCCTTGGAAGTTTTCCTGCAAAGGTTGGATGGCCATCTGTTGGGAGGGCTCGGCTTGTGTTTCCCAGCAAAACAGAAGGGGTGGATTGGATGGCCTTGAAAGTTTCCCACAAAGGTTGGATGGCCATCTGTGGGGAGAGTTCGGCTTGTTTTTCCTTGCAAGACAGAAGGGGGTGGATTGGATGGCCTTGAAAGTTTCCCACAAAGGTTGGATGGCCATCTGTGGATTGGATGGGTTTGTCTTGTGTCTCCCTGCATGACAAGGAAGGGGTGGATTGGATAGCCTTGGAAGTTTTCCTGCAAAGGTTGGGTGGCCATCTGTTGGGAGGGCTCGGCTTCTGTTTCCCTGCAAGACAGAATGGGGTAGATTGGATGGCCTTGGAAGTTTTCCTGCAAAGGTTGGGTGGCCATCTGTTGGGAGGGCTCGGCTTGTGTTTCCCCACAAAAGAGAAGGGGTGGATTGGATGGCCTTGAAAGTTTCCCACAAAGGTTGGATGGCCATCTGTGGGGCGGGATTGTCTTGTGTCTCCCTGCATGAAAAGGAAGGACTTGGAAGTTTTCCTGCAAAGGTTGGATGGCCACCTGTTGGGAGGGCTCAGCTTGTGTTTCCCTGCAAGATGGATTGGATGTCCTTGGAAGTTTTCCTGCGAAGGTTGGGTTGCCATCTGTTGGGAGGGCTCAGCTTGTGTTTCCCTGCAAGACAGAATGGGGTGGATTGGATGGCCTTGGAAGTTTTCCTGCAAAGGTTGGATGGCCATCTGTGGGGAGAGTTTGTCTTGTGTCTCCCTGCATGACAAGAAAGGGGTGGATTGGATGGCCTTGGAAGTTTTTAAACAAAGTTTGGATTGCCATCTGTTGGGAGGGCTCAGCTTGTGTTTCCCTGCAAGACAGAATGGGGTGGATTGGATGTCCTTGGAAGTTTTCCTGCAAAGGTTGGATGGCCATCTGTGGGGAGGGTTTGGTTTGTGTCTCCCTGCATGACAGAAGGAGGGGGTGGATTGGATGGCCTTTGAGGAGTCTGATGGAATCCCCTTCTCTGGATGTTTTCAAGCACAGGCTGGATGTTCATCTGTTGGGAGTGCTTTGATTGTGTGTTCCTTTGTGGTGGAACGGGGTTGGACTGATACACCTTGGGGTCTCTTCCAACTATGGTTCTGTGAATGAAGTCGATTTCCTCTGGGCATGTGCAGAATGTTCTTCCTTTGCTTTCAATGGGGATCTCAGCTGAGCATCTCATGATTGCATGCGGAGGGAGCCCGGGCTGAGCTTGTTTTGGTCTGCTCCCGACCCGCAGCCGGTGCTTCTTGCCAAGGAATGCTCCTCCGGCCGGCACAGAAATACCTGACCTGGCAAATGGGCCAGGAAGGGAGGAAGGCATGTCCGGAATCCGCCTCCAGACCCGCCTGTCCTGGCTGGCGCTGCGCATGGAAGGAGGGAGGGACGGAGGGAGAGGCCGGCCAGAAGGACGGCTCCAAATCCCTCTGGTCTAAGGGTTACACAAAGCAACAATGCAACTGTGTTGTCGGAGGATTTCATGGCCGGAATCACCGGGTTCCAGGGCCAGAGAAGCAGATGGCGGAAACAGAAGAACGGCCTGCCTCAGGGGAGCATGCTTGCTCCATCCATGTTCAACATCTACACAAATGACCAGCCACTGCCAGAAGGGATAGAGAGCTTCATCTATGCTGACGATCGTGCCATCACCACCCAAGCAGGGAGCTTTGAGATGGTAGAACAAAAGGTCTCCGAAGCTCTAGGTGCTCTTACTGCCTATTACAGGGAAAACCAGCTGATCCCTAATCCATCTAAAACACAGACATGTGCCTTTCATCTCAAGAACAGACAAGCATCCCGAGCTCTGAGGATTATTACCTGGGAAGGAATCCCACAGGAGCATTGCAGCGCACCCAAATATCTGGGAGTCACTCTGGACCGTGCTCTGACCTACAAGAAGCACTGCCTGAACATCAAGCAAAAAGTGGGTGCTAGAAACAATATCATACGAAAGCTGACTGGCACAACCTGGGGATCACAACCAGATACAGTGAAGACATCTGCCCTTGCGCTATGCTACTCTGCTGCTGAGTACGCATGTCCAGTGTGGAACTCATCTCACCACACTAAAACAGTGGATGTGGCTCTTAATGAGACATGCCGCATTATCACGGGGTGTCTGCGCCCAACACCACTGGAGAAATTACACTGCTTAGCCGGTATTGCACCACCTGACATCTGCCGGGAAGGAGCAGACAATAGTGAAAGGACCAAGGCAGAGACATCTCCAGCTCATCCCCTGTTTGGGTATCAGCCAGCACTTCAACGACTTAAATCTAGAAATAGTTTTCTAAGATCTACAGAGACACTCGCTGGAACACCTCAGCAAGCGAGAGTCCAAAAGTGGCAGGCTCAAACCCAGAACCTCAACCAATGGTGAGAGACTCCCCCCTGGGCACACAGAAGACGGGGCGACTTGG